ATCTCGTTCTTGATCTCGATCTCGATGATATCTTGACAAGATTGGCGATACAAAAATATGTGTCCTGTATATTATAATATTTATTATAATAAAGTTAAATGAAATAAATCATTTTAATCGTTACGAAATGATCAATCTACTCGGTTTTTGCAATCACTTTGCTTATATTTGATTATATCTTATATTTTATTAACAGATTTTGTTGCGTTTTTAATATTCTGACAAAGTTTGTAGTAGACATTTTGTAAAATGTTTTTGATAGATTTGACTATATATCATTGTATGTTTCTTGTATTTTTAATTAGCGATAATTTATTCGGTGGCTTAATTTTATTACTTTTAATTAATTAATGACAATTTCTTATTGTTGTTTTTAAATGTCAAGATTCTGATAACATGAAAACTAAATAATTTGTAATACCATAGATATTTCGTTAAATAAATTACAAAATTTTTTATATGTATATGTATACTTGGTGTTTCTCTCTCTCTCTACCTTAACCTTTCTTAAAAGACTGAAAAGATATAGCGTCCTAGCTAACAAGACAACGTCGGAATGACGTGAAAAATACGTGATTTTGATGACGATAACGTCATGTGACTTAAATGGTACGTAATTTTGACGTCATTTTAAATACTAAAATAGTACGTCATTACTGTTACGTCAAAACGACGTACCATTAACGTCGAAGATATAAATTGTACACATATAATGACATCCCAGGTAGCATACCCTCGTCATTTTGACGTCGTATACTGGTCATTCTCTGACCAAAAATCACGTGTTAAATGACGTACTTATGACCGAAAAGTGACGGACTAATGTCACAGACAATTAACGTCATTATTTATACGTTATAAAGATATTATTTTGTGACTACTTAATTGTCACTAAACATAATTTTTTTATATTAAATGTTAAATAATAAAAACAGTTTGATTATAACAATATTATTATTTATTGCACAAAGTAAAACATATATTTTATAAATAAGTATTGTTATACTGTTAGCGATTCTCGCTAGGAGAGTTCGCTGGTACCGCTGCGGATGGAAGCAGGGTGAGAGGACTTAGCGGTGAGAGGCTCAAGGAAAGAATTCACGCGTGAGAGGGTGGAATATCACGTGATCGTAACTCGGTTCGATTTGAGTAAAATGCCGTATCACGATTTAATAATCACAGTACCCACACAGCACTAGATGTCCCATGGATATACATTTTAAGTCCCATTTACGTCCATACGTCCCGGGACTTAAATGGAACTTAAATAGGATATCCTTTTTTAGATATAATAGGGATATCCTCATAATATATCCTACGGACATTCAGCGTACGTCCAAGTTGAAATTCATTATCTTAAATTTTTAATATATTATTACGACGTTTATAAACATATTAATTTTTTATTATTGAATTATAGTTACGTACTTTAAAGAAATCGAATATATTTCTTATTACTAAAAATATTTTATTAATATTAAAGTTGTACATAAATTATATAATAGAGTTTTTACAGATATATAAATGCTTAATGTTGGAGAGAGAGAGAGAGAGAGAGAGAGAGTCAGAAGCGAGAATTATGTGTAATGAAAATTCTTACGTGTTACTGTCACATAAAAAGACATTTGGATAAAAACAAATTTTAGACAGTTTTAGGGCCCTATGAAATACATAAAAAATTATCTTTTTTCTATGATAAGTAACCTATTTTTTATTGAATGTCAAGGAAAATAGATAATTTTTGGCATATTTTACAAGTGTACTAAAACTACAATGTTTTCATCCAAGTATCTATTTATTTGACAGTAACACAAAAATTTTCATCATATATGAAATCTCGCTTCTGACGTCACAGTTCAACGTCGCGGAAGGGGGAAGTATTAAAAAGCATTTAGAAATCCATTGGATGTCGAGTGGATATTGTTGGGATCGATTTTATTGTATGTAATTACGTCTTTAGGATGTCCTTAGGATGTCCGGGTTTGGATCGCGTATAGAGATCTTATAAGCGGACATAGGGACGTCCTCAGTATAACCTTAGTATGTTCTACCGATTTTCACGGATATACCCGGGATGTTTGAAAATCCCTTTAGATATATCCGGTGGACATACTTGGGATCAACTTTTGCTGTGTGGGATATGCTTACAGTTGAGAAGTCTATGAGTATGACGGTAATGAAAAGTCCTTAATCACTTGCACGGTTCGATATTATTGATCGAGAGCCGGCCTCGTGAATGTAGATGCCAGTGAGCCGTGTCCACGCGGCGCCGGCGTGCGATGCGTGGTGAGCCTGAGCTGCCTTTATGCTGTATCTTGAGCTGTCTTGGATGATTCGCACTGCTGAGAGTTCACTACGTGTCCGCACTGAGTCAAGTCTCGGATGAGAAGGTCCACTAGAGCACTTGAGAATCTTTTGCACTACACGACGCGTGTACTATGTACGGTAGCCATGAGCCAAAAGCGCCGGTAACGAACGTGAAGAAGCGCCGTCGCCTCGTGTCGCGATCGGGCATGCGCGCGCAGCGCTCCTGCGGCGCTGCACGATCCGACCCGGCTGATGCTGCCATCACGCCGGTGACGAACTGACCGAGATTCAGAAATGAATCTCGAACATTCCGCCCGCCATCAGCAACGTAGTTGATGATCCCTGATCTTATGATGAGATTGGCAGGACGGAGAGCTTGACCACTGGGTCGGATGAGAGTGGTAGTGGCTGTCTTCAGAGTCACCACCCGCACGAGACCATCCTTCCCAGGATGTAGAGCTGTGATCCGGGCTAACGGCCATTTGCATGGCGGTAGCCGCTCGTCGGTGATGAGCACCAATGATCCGATCTTGATCTCGTTGTTCTTGTGGTGCCACTTTGAGATGGCCTGTTGACGTTGTAGGTAATGCGCTGACCATTGTGTCCAAAAATGTTGTGCCTTTTGCTGGATGAGCTGCCATCGTGAGAGTCTTGAGATTGCCAGGTCGGTGAGTGATGGCTCTGGTATGGTGGGGAGCGGACTTCCTACGAGGAAGTGGCCTGGCGTGAGTGCTGAGATGTCATCCGCGTCGTCACTCAATGGTTCGAGAGGTCGCGAGTTGAGGATTGCCTCAATTTGAGTGAGCAATGTGGTGAGCTCCTCAAAGGTGAGTACGGCTTCTCCAATGGTGTGCCGTAGATGGAATTTGATTGATTTTACGACGGCCTCCCATTTTCCTCCCATGTGAGGTGTCGCTGGGGGATTGAATTCCCATCGGGTGTTATCCTGCGAGAGCAGGTGAGAAACTCGCTGATGTTCTTGAGTGCTCTGGATAAATAGCCGTTTGAGAGCTGTATCCGCGCCGATGAAATTGGTGCCGCAGTCTGAGTGTAAGGTGTGAGCAATGCCGTGTCTGGATGAGAAGCGTCGATAGGCGGCAATGAATCCCTCCGTTGAGTAGTCACTCACCGCCTCTAGGTGTACTGCTGAAGTTGAGAAACAGACGAAGACGCAAATCCAGCCTTTAGTTGTTTTGGCACCTTTTCCTTTCCATGTTTTGACGGTGAGTGGCCCTGCGTAGTCCACACCTGTATGAGTGAACGGTCGTGCCTGCGTAACTCGAGAGAGAGGTAGTTGGCCCATCAATTGATGAGCACGGATCCCCCTCTGCCGAGCACACGTGACACACCGCAGAATGTGAGACTTGACAGGAGCCCTTCCGCCGAGAATCCAGTATCGTTGTCGGATGTGCGACAGCGTAAGCTGCGTGCCTCCATGTAGAGTCCGTTGATGAGCGTGAGCGATGATCAATGACGACAGCTGAGAGTGACGGGGCAATATTACAGGATGTGTCGCATCGAGTGAAAGAGCTGCGTGAGCGAGTCGTCCGCCGACGCGAATGACTCCTTAAGCGTCGATGTACGCAGTCAATCTGTTGAATGCGTGTGCCTTTGCCAACGGTGAGTCGGCTTGTAGCGCCTTGAGCTCGTGCGAGAAGTACGTTGCTTGAGTTGCCTGAATCCAGAAGAGCCTCGCCTTTTCCAAGGTCTCTGGAGAGATGTGTCTGACAGGCAATGAGTCGTGGACCTTCCTCAACCGTGAGACGAATCTGAAACAGAGAGCTGTAATCCTCAATAGTTTAGTGAGGCTTGAGTACCTGTAGATGAGTTCCCATTGATAATCAGTCCTTGGCGTAACCGTCAATAGCGAAACGCCTGGGCGAGCTTCTGTTGCACTCAATTCTTCGGAGAGTGCTGGTTGCGACGGCCATGAGTCTGGTTCGAGTATCCATGGTGGTCCCGTCCACCAAAGCGAGTGGGTTTGAAGTTGAGCAGTCGTGAGGCCTCGTGATGCGCAATCAGCCGGATTGGAAGTTCCAGGTATGTATCTTCAGTGAGCAGCTGGAGTGAGTTCTTGAATTTGAGCCACCCTGTTCCTGACAAAATCCTTCCAGCGTGATGCATGAGATCTGATCCATGAAAGTGTCACTAGAGAGTCCGTCCACATGTGAGTTGCCGTTACGTCCATGTTCAAAGTGGCTTTGACGTATTGCATGAGTCGAGAGAGCAGTAGAGCAGCCGTGAGTTCAAGTCGCGGGATTGAGAGCCGCTTGAGAGGTGCTACCTTAGTCTTGGAGCACACAAGTGAGAACGTGGCGCCGTTTGAGTCGTGAACGGATATGTATATGACTGCAGCCATTGCCAATTGAGAAGCATCAGAGAATCCATGAAGTTCCACTTGCGAGTCGCTCCATGTGTTGAGCCACCGTGGTATTGAGAGCTTGGCCAAGCTTGTGAGTTCTTCTCTGATGATGAGCCACCGGGCTGAGAGCTGGGATGGCAGTGGATCATCCCATTGGAGCTTGTGCAACCACAGCTCCTGCAAGAGAATTTTGGCCCTGATCACGACAGGTGATGCAAAGCCAAGTGGATCGAATATCTGAGCCACTTCAGATAAGACGAGGCGTTTTGTGAGTCTGCCTTCAGTGCGTGAGCTTCGTGTTGAGAATGCAAAGGTATCTTCTTGAGGGAGCCATTTGAGTCCGAGTATCTTGGTTGCGCAATCGTCGAATGTGATTGGTAAGCCTTGGTCTTCGCTGTCGGTGACAGTCTTGAGTATGTCGAGATAAGTTGCATGCCATTTTGCTAGTGGGAAGCCGCCCGCCATGCAGAGGCCCTTTAGTTGATGTGCGACCTCCTGCAATTGTTGTATTGTATCTGCACCACCAAATATGTCATCGACATACCTGCCGTGAGTGATGGACGGCACAGCCAGTGGATATTTATGTCCTTCGTCCTCTGCTAGTTGTAACAGCGTCCTTACGGTCAGGAACGGCGCGGCCTTTGTCCCGTAGGTGACTGTTGTCAGATGATATGGCACTTCATTGAGTTCGTCGTCCATCCAGAGTATCCGCTGCAACTCCCAGTCATCCTTGTGAATTTTGATCTGCCTGTACATCTTGATGATATCCGTAGCGAAAATGTGACGATGGCTCCGTATCCAGAGGAGAACATCTGAGATGTTCAGATGCAATTTCGCTCCCGTGTACATGAGGTCGTTGACAGAGTAGCCCGATGTGGATGCGCTGGAGCCATTAAACACGACCCGCAGCTTTGTTGTTGTACTGTCAGACTTGAGAACACCGTGATGTGGCAGGTAGAAGTGTGAGCGACGACTGGAGATGGATGATGCCTTCGTCATGTGGCTGAGTGTCTCGTAATCCATCATGAATTGTTGATAAAGGCGTTGATAATTCACATCCCTTGAGAATCGTCTGCGTAATCCCTTGAGGCACTGGTGGGCAACGTGGTAAGAATCACCCAGAAGATCTACTGGTGTTTTGAGTGGAATCCTGACGACGTACCTCCCTGATGAATCACGAGAGTGTGTAGCCTTGAAGTGTTCTTCGCACCTCTGCTCGTTAGGGGTGAATTGATTGACATCGTGAGTAGGCACCTCCTCTTGAACCCAAAATTTTGTCAGTAATTCATTGAGAGCATCCTCGTTGACTTGAGTAGAAGCATGGTGCGTTGATGTGCGTGTTGCTTCTCTATTGACTGGTCCAAGAACGAGCCATCCGAAAATGGAGAGTTGCGCTATCGGCATGAGTGGAGAATGCCTAATGATATTGGGCTTGATGATTTCGTACGCGTCTGCGCCGATGAGGATGTCAACTGGCCGCGGGATGAGAAAGTCTGGATCGACTAATGCCAAGTTCCTGAGATGCGGCCATTCTTCCGGTTCAGCCTCGAAAGATGGTAAGATTGATGTAACTGTCCGGAGGACATGAGCTTGAATTGTGGCAGTTGCGCTGGAATGTGTCGAGCGTAACGTGAGCGACACGACTCCTCGTGTCCGAGTACACTCCTTGCCTGCAATTCCACTGACGACAATACCTGAGTATTGACGAGGGATGTTGAGCTGCCGAATGAGATTCTCCGTGACGAAGGTGAGTTCGGATCCTGCGTCAATGAGTAGACGCGCTGAGTGATGAGTGTTGGATGAGCTGATCAATGCCAAGGTTGTGGCGAGTAACGTTGAGCAGGATGAGCGGACGTGTGAGCTGGTCTCGACGACTGCACCATCTCTTCAGGTTGCGGGCGTGCCCGACGAACCGCTAGATTTCTGAGTGGTCGACGCTGCTGGATGTGCGTCGTGCAGCATCGTGTGATGACGCCCTGAGCATGTCTTGCAGCCCCGCTGGGACTTGCATGAGCGTACACTGTGGCGCCCCAGGCAGTTAAAACATAGGCGCTTGTTTACTGTCACCTTGTGCCGGTCATGCGGTGGTAGATCCCGGAACTTCGCGCACATCACAATAAAGTGCTGTGCGTTACAGCAATCACAAGGGTAGGATGAGTCGCCCTGATGAGTAGTCTGATGAGCTGCCGTCTTCCTTGGCGATGATGATGATGAGCTGGGGCCAGGATGAGCTGTCGTGGTCTCGATCCGTTCGAGAGCCCGTATCCGAGTGCTCAAGAATTCCTCGAGCTTCTCGATCGTAGGATATTCGCGCGTGGCGCCAACCGCGTTCTCCCACTGCTCGCGTGTCACGCGATCAAGGAGTCGCGTGACATGATAAACCACGGCGCAGTCCCCGAGCTTCTCCTTGATCTCGAGGGCCTCCAGTCCCTTGAGCGCCTTCTTTACCCCCGAAACAAGCCGGTCCAAGGCTGCCGCTTTCCTTGGCACCGGGGTTGAGCTGGCAAAAATCTTGTCAAGGCAGGAATGAATGAGCAGTCTTTTGTTCTCGTACCTGTCCTTGAGCAGATCCCATGACGGGGTGAGTCTCCGGTCATTGAGAGTCCTGATATCAATTGAGCTGGCGCGCCTTCCAACGCCGAACGGAGGTAATGAAGTCTCTCCACGTTCGTGAGCTGCTCGTTTGAGATGATCAGACTTGAGAAGAGATCTCGAAAGGCAGGCCATGCGGCATACTCCCCGGTGAACTTGGGGAGTGAGATGTCCGGCAAGCGTGAGTGTGTCTGCCGGGTCTCGCCGGCCGATGAGCTGGTCTGTGGTTGAGCGGGCAGAGCGGCTGCCAATGCGTGGCGAAGCACGCCGAGGACTCGTCGCGCCTGCATGTAGCACCGCGACTCTTCCTGATGAGCATCCTCAGCGAAATACTCATGGTGAATAAGCGCCGAGGGCCATGACACCTCGAAGTAGGCGTGTTCCTTGATGAACGCCTTGTGCGTCTCCTCGATCAGGAGCTGAAACTGGCTCACTTCTCCGAGGGATGTCCGTGCCGGGACATCCGGCAGCGACTCTGTGAGCTCCCTGAGCGACGCGATCCGGCCCATCTGCGTCCGGACCTTCAGCGCGAGCTCCGTCGGAAGCCGGGCAGGAGACGTCGTCCTCCCCGACGCTCGGTCTCCCTGCGGCACTTCCAACACCGGGGTTTTCGGGCGGTCCGTCTTGCCCGTTTTTGGTTCGTCCGCCATGATAAGAGTTGAGAAGTCTCGCCGGCCGATGAGCTGTCACGCGAGAGGATCGTGAGATCACGTGATCAATGAGTGGGACCGTGTATGTGCGCGCCGCTGATCACGCGAAAGGGCCGTGAAATCACGTGATCGATGAGTGGGACCGTGTATGTGCGCGCCGCCGATCACGTGAAAGGGCCGTGAGGTTGAGCTCATCCGTCCGAGAGCCTCGCCGCAATCCGGCTCGAAGGACCAAAAAATGTTAACGATTCTCGCTAGGAGAGTTCGCTGGTACCGCTGCGGATGGAAGCAGGGTGAGAGGACTTAGCGGTGAGAGGCTCAAGGAAAGAATTCACGCGTGAGAGGGTGGAATATCACGTGATCGTAACTCGGTTCGATTTGAGTAAAATGCCGTATCACGATTTAATAATCACAGTATGCTTACAGTTGAGAAGTCTATGAGTATGACGGTAATGAAAAGTCCTTAATCACTTGCACGGTTCGATATTATTGATCGAGAGCCGGCCTCGTGAATGTAGATGCCCGTGAGCCGTGTCCACGCGGCGCCGGCGTGCGATGCGTGGTGAGCCTGAGCTGCCTTGATGCTGTATCTTGAGCTGTCCTGGATGATTCGCACTGCTGAGAGTTCACTACGTGTCCGCACTGAGTCAAGTCTCGGATGAGAAGGTCCACTAGAGCACTTGAGAATCTTTTGCACTACACGACGCGTGTACTATGTACGGTAGCCATGAGCCAAAAGCGCCGGTAACGAACGTGAAGAAGCGCCGTCGCCTCGTGTCGCGATCGGGCATGCGCGCGCAGCGCTCCTGCGGCGCTGCACGATCCGACCCGGCTGATGCTGCCATCACGCCGGTGACGAACTGACCGAGATTCAGAAATGAATCTCGAACATATACATATTTACTTAATAATAATTGCTTAATAGATTACCAGTAACATCTAATATTATTAATATTAGATGTTACTGGTAATAAAGAATTAAAAACTGAAAAAGCGAAGACGTGTGCGAAAAGAAATTAAGAATTATTCATTCAAACTATGGATAATAGGAAATGAAACAAAACAATTGTTATTAATAGGAAAAACAATACATTTTCCATATATGGATGATATTGGCCATACTTTCAAATTTTCTGACAGAGATTTGCAATAACATTTATATGAAGTTCTGATGAATCATATGGATAATCATAGAAACATGAATATTTCTTAAATTGTTTTCCTATTATAAAAATAACATTTTTATAATAGGATATCCATTGAATAATCGCTAGTCGCTCATCGCTCATCGCGTTCAGTCTGAATCCAGCCTAAGCGGCGGACGGACAGCGGCGTGCCTCCCTACTTCTCGCCGCGCACCGCCTCGAGCGACGGCCGATGGGCGGCAATTTTTTAACATCAATATCTCGATAACTATTCCTCCAAGTGCAAAATGGTACAGGACTTTTCTGTTTGGCTTATTGTTAGTCCCCTCTATCTTCTATATATATATATGTATATACTTACTTTCGCTCTCAATATAAATATAAATTATAATATATACGAATTTTTATAAAATCACAAAGATTTTTTGTTTAAATCTTATTATAAAAGATGAAATTAGAATGTTAATTATAAAATACTAAAATAGTAATTTAAAATACAAACATTAATAAAAACTAGCATAAATACGTGAATATGACAATAAAATGACATCATTCAAAACGACGTGATTACTTGGTGATTAAAATGACGTCATATTATGGTACCTTTTGGTCACATGACGTCAATAGACTAAAAATGACTAATTTTCGACGTCAAAATGACGAAGGTATGCTAGCTGTAGGGTTGCCAGATGGCCGGGATTTCCGGGAAAGTCCCGGAATTCTTAAGCTTGTCCCGTGTCCAGTAATTGATGTCTTCTGTTCCGGAAAATCAGAATTTCAACAAAATCATAACATTCATGTCTCTAACTGATACCTAATTAATGTATTTGGCCATTACCAGTGCACAGCGGTACCCTCTCCACCTCTTAGCCGTCCGCCCGCCCCCTGTATTTTTGTTTTAGTTAGAAGCTCTTCGCGACATAGGACGTGTCATTTTGTAATAACGGTCGATAACCTTTCAAAGTCGTTTATACAATAGTATAACATTATGGAATCACAATTTCCATCAACAAGTAAAAAGAGACTCACGGGTTTTAATGAAAAATGGAAAAATTATCCCGATTTCAAGGACTGGATTGAAATGAAAAACGAATTTACTGCTGTGTGCAAAACATGTAATTCTGATATAGCAATTCAGTACGAAGGTCGCCGTGCTCTGACAGTAAGTATCTTTACTTCTTTTCCTTAAAATTCCTGCTTCGTTTCGCTTTGAAACAATTGCTTCGTTTATTTATCATTGTCTCATTGTCTTATAGACTTCAACCAAGTCGCGACATGACTTTAACCTAGACGCGACATGACTTTAACCTAGTCGCGACATGACTTCGACTTAGTCGCGACATGACTAATAATTTAATATTATGATAAGCTGAAGATTCTATTCTATTCTATAGAACAATCTGTGTGTACTTAAGTAACTCTGAAGTTTGATTATTTTTATTTATGAAATTTTTAGGTTCACGCAAGTTCTGCTAAACATAAGAAACTGGAATCGTCCAGAAAGACTGCAAGATGCATCAACAATTTTTTCATAAAAAAAGCTTCAAAGGAGGAGACTTTAATCACAAATGCAGAAATAGCTTTTGTCTATCACAATGTGAAGCATGGTTTAAGTTACAATAGTTTGAACTGTTTAACCAAAAATATCAGCAAAATCATTCCAGATAGCCTCGTCGCCGCCAAAATAGCATGTGGTCGGACTAAAACGTCAGCAATTACAAAAGGTATTTTAGGTCCTATTTCGCAGGAAAAAATTATATCAGATTTGAAAGACTGTTATTATTTTGCAGTAAGTTCAGATGCATCAAATGTTGGTAACATAAAAACATTTCCATTTGCCGTACAATACTTTCACGAAAGGAGTGGAATACATATGTCAAAAATTATTAGATTTTTAATAATTTTATTAATAATTAATTTATTAATAATTAAATTAAATATCAGTAATGTTGCCGCTCCGCTCCGTGCGCGGTGTATTTTCCTTCTTACTCGCTCCGGAGGTGTTCTCTGACGAGAACCGAAAGGATTCTTTGATGGGATGTGGCTGGGTCGGAGGTCACTTCAAAAAGGCACCGTTTAACTATCACTATGTAGCTTTATTCAGCTGAGTGTTACACTGATGGTTTACGACAGGCCGAAGGCCTGACGGACAAATGCTTAGCGCGTAAACGTATACTATTGAATGACGCGTGATTGACAAGTGCCCCGATCTCGGGCTTTCTTCTGGTTTTAAGCCCGATGATCGAGGCGTCAGCGTTCTCGGTACTCGATAGCGGTCATTCGTAATCAGGTCGAGAACTTGCTGACTTCTTCTTCGAATTTAATTAGGTTGCGCGGTCGGGCTTTTGTGGTTCGATCGCGCAATATGCTTACGCTAGTGTTATTCTAATTGCAGTTACAATGCTTGAGTGCCCTCCTTACCTCTTTATGCAATCGGGGCACAACATCCCTCCCCCTTTGGAAGAAGGAAAACTGAGGGATGAAGTTTTCCGCTCATGGGTTTACCCTCTCCCTTTTCCTTGTTCCTTACAGTATTTCTTTACAATATATGCTTAATACAGCATCGCGGGTTCGCGGTTAACAGAGTTTGGTGTATTTTGTTGTATTTTCGTTCTACGGTATATTATCCATGCGCTTATGCCTATTATGCTAATTATAATTATTGCCATACCCGATCCTTGTGAGTGCGTGACATTTGTTCGCGAATATGTGTCTTCTTTTGCACGCGTTTAGGTGGCCAGGGGCCTTCCCCTCGCGGGGGGAGTCCCCCTCCCCCCATAACACCGGGGGAGGGTGCACGAGGGCCCGCCCGTCAAACGGCGGGCCGGTGCGGGGGGCGTCCAGAAGTAATGGCTCTGCCAAGTCCTGGGCGTCCCCCAAGTTACAGCACCGCGCAGGTCACCGTGTGGTTTTAGTGCGGTAAGCCCAGCGGTCGCAATGCTAGCGGCCACACCCGATCGCCACTAGGGGGGCAGTCCCACATAACCCGGGTTACCTTGTAAACTCCCTTCCCAGAGGGGGGCCCGGGTATCCATAAAGGATTTCCACACGTAAAAAAAAAAGGTGGCCAGGGGCCTTTACGTAAGTTTGCACCTCGCATGGTGCGTCTACATTCACATTGTATGACAGAAATGCTTGATCGCATACATAATTTTACTCGGTTCGCGTGCATGTTTCTAGCTCGCGTTTCTTGACTATTAGGCAGTTTTTATTTTGTTCATTTATCCTATCTTCTATCTTTTATTCCTGTCCCTTCCCCCCTTGTTTGTAGTTTTATGAGACTAATATTCTACAAAGAGTTTTAGGCGGTTTATGTGCACTCGTAGGCTTCGTCGTCCCTTTTTTATAGTATAGTTTACTTCCAAATGCTTCTCCGTAATGACGTACGGACCTATCCATTGAGCATCTAGTTTTTTCGAGCGTCCTCTCCTTACGGTTTTGTCGTGTAGGAGCACCTTTTCCACTACTTTAAACATTACAGTTTTAGTTCGTTTGTCATATTGCGTTTTTGCTTTTTCTTTCTTGACTATTAAGTGTTCCTTCGCTGTCTGTTGCGTAGCTCGCATTCTCTCGCGTAGTTCTTGCGCGTAGTCGTCGTACGAGTACGTCTGTCGCAGCGGTTGAGTCAGGGCCGTAGGTAGAGTCGCTTGGTGCCCTTATATCAATTCGCGTGGTGTGTACCCTGTCGCGCTATGTGGCGTTGTGTTATATGTAAACATTGCGTACGGGATCCATTCATCCCAATCACTTTGATCCTCGCCTATGTAGTGTCGCAAGTATTCTGCAATAGTGCGATGCGATCTTTCCAGAGCTACATTGTTTTCTGGGTGGTAAGCCGTCGCGACGCGTGGCGAA